TTTTATTACACTATGTTTATTCCTACACTTTCGATTTTTTAAATTATTTTTCCTACTTGTCTGTAAATAATGTATATGTATATATATATATATATATCATTTTATGATATGATTCTTTCTTTGCATCTTCTTTCAAATAATTAGGTAAAAATAATTCAACTTTCAGGCCACTAAACGAAAACAAGTTAATTTTTCTTCTTCTAACGTTATAAGCTCGAGCACTAACTGTACTACACAACGTAAAAATCAACATACTTGTGCAAACTACCGCGATAGCTAACACTGATTCACTCTCGAAACAACTCACTTTCTATGTAACTCAATCCAGATATAACAAACAGTTCACTGAACGTCGTAATATAACCTACGTTCAAATATACTATAACTTTATGTCACATCCTAAGAACAGGACTTTACAAGAAACCATTAGTTTTCTAGAAGTTCTAAGCTTATCTTAACTTATCATCAACAACACGTAGTGCCCTTTAGCTAACGAACAAATTACAACACTGAAAATATATAACTTACAAATATATATTTTTTTTAAAATTAAATCAAGCACGTAGTTCAAAATTCCAATATGTCTATAAAATTTTTGGAGCATAGCTATCAGGTGTTTCCACGGCACGGAATCAAACCCTGGTTTTAGCGTTGTCCTGAGACTTACCGCTGTCCCACCGGTAGAACGGAATCGATTATCTTGTGTTTCTCACATTAACCATACCCACTTAATAAAACTCAATAAAATTAAGTTACAAAATTTCTGCCATTCGAAATACTATAATAATTCATAACATAAGTGAAATTTTATTTTGATAAAATTGCCGTGCAAATTCACAAAACACACTCTCACTTAGTAAATAAGTATTGTTACGACAGCGGTAGTCGCGTGACGTTGGTAACACGTCATGGGTTTCTAGAAGGATCATGACTGTTTCTGACAACTCTAGTCTTTTCTACGCGCCCTCTATTTTAGTATATAAGCCGGCAAACAAAGTGACGGCATAAATAATTGCAGATAGAGAGATATATAGAGACAGATATTTGAGTCAAGTGAGCGGTAGTGACCGTAAGTAAAGTGCGTGAATCGTTGTGAATTATAGCGTGTGTTGAAGTTAAAGTGACTGTGGAAATTAAGTGTATTGCAAAATTGTATTGAGAAAGAATAAACTAGTTTTATTTAAGAAAGTACTTGTATCGCTGAAGTTCTTCGGAAAGAATTTTTACGGAAAATTAACAAACGACCAGATACGTAAGAGCATGTTGTTTATCAGATATGGGCTCTCATGTTTTGTTGTGAAGTTGATCAAAGTTGCTTAAAATAATAAAACGCATAATGTCGAGATGATAAAAAAGTATTGACAACGTCAAATTAAACTTCTAAATTTTCAGTGATTATATTTATGTACTAATTTCTAAGATATCTGGCATGCTTACAACCTTTTTATATCAAGCTAAATAAATGCGGTATACGGATACTCACAAGAAAAAACATTTCAGCGATAACTCGTGAACATGAACCACGGAATTCTAAAAAATGTGTCCTATATACTTTATACACAGAAACGATGAGTGTTAACTGAAGAATGTTAACAGCTTCTCCTATCAGGATACTGAAAGCGTGACATTTTCCAGCAACAAACACTAAAAAAACATAACAAGTGCAATAAAAAAGTTATTTTGTTAGTCAGGGATGAAATATAGTATAAAGTAAAGAAACGCCAACATTTGTTTATTTCACATAGAGATTTACAGTACCGACCCCCTCTATTCAACCGTACATAATGATATGTGTATACAATACAATGTAACAATATATATATATACCACAGTCAACTCAAACATATACGTCGGTAAGTTGTATCACAATAAATAATGTAACAATATATATATCACAGTCAACTGAAAACTGGTCTTTGTTAAGAAACATATACGTCGGTAAGTTGTATCACAATAAATAATGTAACAATATATATATATATATCACAGTCAACTGAAACTGGACTTTGTTAACAAACATATACGTCGGTAAGTTGTATCACAATAAATAATGTAACAATATATATATATATATATATATACCGCAGTTAGCTGATAACCAGTTTGTTAACAAACATATACGTCAATAAGTTGACGTATATTGTATAAAATGTCAGCTATGTGCCACTATAATACATATAGTTAAATAGCCAGGTGTTTAGGGCGCTCAACTCGCAATCTTCGGGTCGCGGGTTCGAACCCACGTTACATCAAACATGTTCGCTCTTTCAGCCGTGGGGGCGTTATAATGTCACGGTCAATCCCACTATTCGTTGGTAAAAGAGTAGCCCAAGAGTTGGCGGTGGTGGTGATGACTAGCTGCCTTCCGTCTAGTCTTACACTGCAAAATTAGGGACGGCTAGCGCAAATAGCCCTCGTGTAGCTTTGCGCGAAATTCAAAACAAAACATATAGTTAAAAATATCTGCTAAGTGTCACTGAGATGGATATTATTTAAAATGTCAGTCATGTGCTACTATGATAAATATTGTTTAACATACCAACTATGTGACACTGTGATAGATATTGCTTTAACATTTCAGTTATGTGCCACTATGATACATATAGTTTAAAATATCATCTATCTGTCACTGATCTAGATATTGTTTAAATGGCCCTTTGATACATTCTTCACTATGTCCTTGCATTTCAACTTTTTACTAAAATCAAATCACAAGACACTTATCTCGTTTTAAAAACTCTTTATATGGTAACTTAGTAGAGATGGAGATTCGCCTGTCTATTCTTGCATTCAATAACAATGATCTGCTACCACTTCCGTTTGGTGAGAAGATTTTTTTAAGTAGGATGCTTATCTAGGAGTTTCTATTGATATATTTAATAAGTCAAAAGTTCAGTTACAGAAATATTTGACATTTCATCCAGCTATATTCTCCGTATTTTTTTATGATTTCACTAACACGTGTCTAATAAAGCACCACTAATAATTTAGTATGTAAAGAATACACAGTATTTAGAGATGTCGTTTTTGAATCACTCTAGGAAAGAAAACCTATACGTCTTACAGAGTGCAAGAAAATCCAAAGTCTGGCCTACATTTTGACCTTATGTACTCTTGGTGCAAGTAATCTATTACCATGAACACTTTTATCTCACCAGTGTTTATTTCCCAATTTAGGACATATTTATGTGAACTTTAATCAGAGCTTTTTTTTTTCAAATTCAACAGTAATTGCCTGTCCATAAAAGGAACTGGACAAAAATATCGCAACTTTACTGCTGTAACTGTTGGACTAATATTTGTTTTCTGTTTCGCCTACTTTTAGAGAGAAATCGTGGTACATGTTATAACGATCCGGAATAACTATTTATTAGATGATTGATTTTAAATGTAATGTATTTCATTAATGATATAAACTAACCAAACACTTTCTTCCAACTCTTTTGAAATAGGAAAAATATGTATTTTATACATTAAGTGTAGTTAATTAAATTAATTAGATTATATAGACTTTACTAATGTTACTTATCAAATACTAGCTATAAATAACGACGATTAAAGTCTATTTGTGAGCCATTTAGCATTGAAGCTTCAAAATTTAGGTTTTTCTCCCTCATCTGGATGTCACACTCTCCTCTAGTCTAAGTTCAATCCAACTATCCAGCCGATGTATCACTCCCTATCTGTTCTGCTTACGTCTTGTTCCCTCATCTATCTAGCCTAGGTCTTGTTCTCTCATCTGTCCAGCTTAGGTGTCACTCACTGATCTGTCCAACCTAGGTGTCATTCCCTATTTTTCCAGCCTAGGTCTCAGTCCCTGATTTGTCCAGCCTGTTGCTCCTTATCTGTTAAGTCTAGGTGTCATGCCTGACCTGTCCAACCAAGGTGTCACTCCCTAGTTGTCCGGTCTACGTGTTACCCCATATTTGCCCAGTCTAGGTGTCACTCACTATTTGTCCAACCTAGATGTCACTCCCTATTTGTCAAGCCTAGGTGTCACTCCATATTTGTCCAATCTAGGTGTCACTCCCTATCTGTCAAGTCTAGGTGTCACTCCCTATCTGTTAAGTTTAGGTTTAACTCCCTATTTGTTCAATCTACGTGTTTCTCCCTCACCTGTCCAACTTAGGTGTCACTCCCTATTTGTCCAGCCTAGATTCTCCCTATGTGTCCAGTCTCGGTGTCGCTTCCTATCTGTTGAAGCTATGTGTTTCTTCAGCTGTTTATCATAGGATTTCATTCTCTTAGACCTTGCAATCACGTGGATAAACATTGTTTCACAGAAAGATAAATTCAGAACCTACGATCACGTGTATAGTCACTCTTCCATGAAAATTCAGAATTTAAAGTCTCATGCCACCACATTCTTATATTAATTTAGACTTTAAATCACGACGAAAATGTAATATGTCTTAAGAGAAAAGGAGAGATTACACCAGTAACACATGGTCTTAATGAGAACGTTCATTCAAACTTTTAAACAAAAATACTGTGTTAATTGTTGTCTTTATATGCAGATTTCAATAATACTAAATATATATTAAAGTAATAATCACATTAAAAGCGTGTTCTCTCGGTATTTATAATCGCCATATGATATTTTTGAATCTTTAGTTAGTTGAAACCAATTTGAGGCCGTATTTCCAAACGGCATAAACCTCGTGTTTCAGTGTGATCTTATGGTAAGAGACAGTTTTAATTAAATAAATCATAAGAGGGTTAAAGAAAATGTATACTTATAAACAACTAAATTCTCAAAATATTTAAATTCTACAAGAAAGGTAAATATTGTTACAATTAAAACAAACATTAATTACTAAATTAGTGACGAACTGTCAATAGTGTTACTGTAATCTTGGTTTTTGTGCGCAGTTTATTACTGCTTGCTGTTGATAAGCGCTGTATTATTGTTTGAAATGATGTTTATAACAACATTATTTTATACTCTAACTACGATACCTTTTTTGTGTATATTTCAGATTTTTTATATTTTCTTTCAGAGTGGAGAACGCGTAACGTGGGAGCATCACTGGGTGACTATAAACCGGGCAAGTTGTTTGTCATATTGTTTTACATTTTCTACAATATCTTTTGTAATTTGCGTTTAAGCCAAGCTGTTGACGACTGTTATTTCAGAATTCAATACTGATCATCCAATGTAATCCAGCTTTTCAGTTATGTATTGAGAAGTGGTCTGTTCAGATTTTTTTAAATATAATTATTTATCAAAAGTGATCGGGATATGTGCTACTGGTATTGCAAACTAGGTTTTGAAAACTTCTGAAGCGAAAATATATATATACAAATCACAACTGAATTGGTGCAAGTTGAAAATGATCTCTAGAAAAAAATAAAGATTTTCCTTATTAGATTTTGTAAAACCTTTTTTGAGAAGTTTTGGGGTATTTCCCACGTTAGATAGAGTTGTGGATATTTCACACAATTGCTATAGTTATGAATGTTTCACATATTAGTATAGTTACGGATATTTCACATATTAGTTATGGTTACTAGTGTTCAACACATTAGCTATGGTTGTGAGTATTTTGTAAATCAGCTATAGTTACGGGTATTTCATACATATGTTATAGTTATGGGTATTTCACACATTAGCTATATTTATAAACGTTTCACACATTAAGTAGAGTTATGGATGTTTATACATTAATTGTAGTTATGGGTATTTCACACACTAGCTATTTTTGTGCATATTCAGCATGTCCAATGGAAAAGCGATATATCGAACAAATCTCCTGTTCTCCTTCTTGCTTTGAACTATTTTCTTGGCTAGTTCCCTTGTTACTTATGTCATATTTTAGACATTGTCTTTCCAGCTAGTTGAAGACCTCTTTTTTTTTATTTTGTCCTTCCCACTTTCCTTCTAAGATGGTACCTTCCAGGCTGTTATTTCATATGGCAATATGCCAAGAATAGCTCTTCTTTCTACTATGTGCAAGATCTAACAGCCTTTCTCAGGTCTTATCCCCGCCAATATTAAGTACTGTTACTAACCCTGACAAATATGCAAATATTGATTTATTGCTTCTTCTTCTTGATGTCCAGGAATTATTTCACCTTTCTTCTGCAGTACCACATCCATATAAAGAAGTCATGGAGTAAAGCACCCGAATCTTCAGACTGAGTGATAGGTTCCTGTCCTTCATCATCTTATCAAGTCTTGAGATGATATTTCCTGCAAATCCTAGCCTTCTCTATATTTCTTGGCATTAATTTATGCTTGTTTTGATAATAACTTTATCATTTGCAATCAGTGATACTATATTTAGTCTCTCGCGATCAGCATAACTTTTGTTTTCTTTTTGTTCAGAAGTAGCCATTTTTCTCTGTTCCGATCCTTAACAGTTGTCAACATTTGTTCAATTGCCTCTATACTGTGTGAAAGGAGGTTGACGTCTTATGCATATCTAAAGTTTTTTTCAACTTAAGTCCTCAGATCTGAATCTCTTCCTGTTCGTCTTTTAGTATGTTACGTCTCCGTTTGTTAATTAACTTTCCGTAACT